CGGTTTAAACTTATACTCCATTGTATACCGTGTGCTGTCGACTTTGGGATAATCCATTTATTTCGAACACCTTAGTTTTATAAAGATCACTCGTTATTATCGAAACGCCWTATATATCCTGCAAGGAAAACAGATAATTCTTCTTTACGACCGACATTTGCTATAGCGGACAATGTTATGATCTAGACGAATTTCGTTATTACAAGAACTGGTTGTAGTGTTTTGGCCAAATCCAACGTGCGAATCATATGACTGATACAATTCTATATATGGTTACCGAACACCGAACCCTGCGGTTATGTCTGTTGTGTTAAAATTTAGTCTCCATTCATTCCATAAATTCTTGTCGAATGATTAATCGTTCTGGAATCTTTCATCAAACATCCTCGTTTCGAGCTCCGAATCAAATTTGCTTAACTCAATGCAAATGAAATGATATTTGGGAAAAAATATCGGGGAAATGGGAATTGAATTTGGTGCTGGATTAAGCGCTTGAAACTTCTTGTTTTGTACATGTTTGGGCAGTCGCTTCAAACAATGATTTTATTCGATGTGAATGAACGTGTACGTTTTTCGCAAAAATAAAAATCAAATTCCCTTTAGTGTGGACAATGTCGCTTCACTTTGATAAAGCTATTTTAATTAGAGATCCGCTTGTTAAGGCATTTCTTATTTCACAATTCGATTTCCTTTTTTTCATTTTGAAACGGACTACATATCATGGTATTATGTCTACACTTTCAATGAAATCAACYCCAAATATATAGTTTCTGGTTTAAAGTCCTTATTTAGTGAATATTTGTAACAGAAAGGAACAGAAAATTATAATGTATATTTTATCATTATAAACGTTTTATTTTGACTAATTTTAGAGGTTTTTTTTCAGTAGATTTTGCCAGAATTATAATATTTGTGATGAACGATATTTTTGCTTTCATTATTTATTTTTCCAAATGTAAAACAATGCAAAAATATTTCGCCCAACGAACAGCTGTTCTACCAAGTCATTAAGTTATGCCCATATATGGTAATATAGAAAATCTGTTCATAACAATACGGCACCTGTGAATTGTAAATACCATCGTCAAAGCAAGTGTATACAAGATACTTATGCAAATATGATACGATCTCGTCTGTGATTGGCTGTTGGCAGGTTTGATTGACGTAGTAATTAGTTCAGTTACCGGTCGATCAAGTTGTGGTTAATTTTGTTTTCAAGCGACCGTACGTGATCTTTCATAGTTTTTTGAATTAGAAAGAGCGCTTGCACTAAAATTACATGAAAAGGTAGGGAAATATTTAGACTRTTTAACTGCTTTGAATTTCCTCGTGATTATTGGCAGATTATCATTCTATAATGTCTTTATATTATCATAACGAGAAGGATATACTGAAATTCGAGCTTTCGCTGGCGGTGAAACAACTTGTRTCGAGTACCGACATGAATTGCAGAAGAWTTATAGTTYAAARTTGAAASATTCTTGTTCGTCAACACAAGTGTTTGCTCTAGAAACAAGCTAGYTAATCAAATTACAAATTTTGTTGTTGATTCGGGTACGAAGTTGGGTAAAATTTACCTTAAATGAAGTATTGATACAAGTTGTTTATCAMGCTTCGTGTTTGTAAAATGCCAGTCACGCTTGAGGAAAATTATGATAATGAAATAGCTCTAGCTCAAGATCGTGATTAGAAAGAGATTATAGTATAAAATAATCGAATGGTAACTGGACAGGTTYTATTAAATTTTTAAACGAATGTGTGACCTGGGCTGGCTGGCTGGCGCGTGGAATTAGATCTTCGATTTTCCATGGTCCAAAATGCAGTCTTGAATAACATATTTGCAATGTCAACGGATAATATTAGCATTTTGCAAAGAATTGAATAATTAATTTGGCAGTCTTGTATAATAAATCCTTGAAACAAAATATCATGTTCAGGGCGTAATATATTGTCTTACAAAATCGAGTGCAGTATTTTTAAATTAAAACCCCGTGAAACAAAAYTTGATTGTTTAAAGTGCGCCTGTCAAAAAGACACAAAAGAAAACATGTTAATTGCAGCGTACGAAGGTGTATTAGTGTGATATCTATTTCACGGGTTTCGATTTCACTCGCWATTTTTTAAACCCGTGAAACAATGTGCAAATACAACAATATATACTAAAATATTAAAAGTACCGCTAGATTAACGACAAAACACGCATTACATTATCTTTGDATGCTTCTGTTGTCTTTTCGGTGCATCATTTTGTTTCACGGGCTTTTGAAGCTCACTATCCGTTTCCCGGGTTTAACTATCACAGCCCTTTATCTCTATCGTGCATTATCACAAAAGCTCCTAATAAACAAGCAATGGTTCGATMATCCAGCTTAACACAACAATATACCAACATTTTTTCGCGCTTGATTTYATTRCATGCTGTGTGGAWGCAGTCAAGCGCRTTGGKGACACTTTGAGGGTGAATGGCCCGCTCAAGAATTTGTTGTTGATTTTGGTGTTGGTAATAAAAAATTCATGTAATTTGAAGGAAACAATGCTTTCTCACATCACTACTTGTCCATTAAAACTTTTCAATAAAGAACAGATGGAACGAATAACAACGGGCTTATTGCAACAGCACTAGCACATGGTCACGACATTAGAGTACAATTCTTTGAGGACTCGAAGTCTGCTGAAACCCCAWCTTCCTTTCCCCTGGGTTTTATTATTGTTATTATTTTTTCAATGCTCAGCCCCTACCCCCTGTACCCTGTGTATAACTTTATTTTAATGGTAGATGCTTATGTCACTGGTATGTGAGTTATTTTTATATATTATTTAATTATTTTTAATAGGAAAAGATGAAATGGAAGAAATCGAAAGGCCAGAGAAAAGAAGGTTTGAAAAACATAMTTTTTGTATTTCTTAAGTCGCAATAATTATATTGCTAATTAAAGAAGGTTGTCATGGAGAAATTTTACGTCTAGGGCCGGTTGTGCAAAGGGCGTATAGTGCTATCCACTGGACAAATTCCCCTTCAACGGAGAAAATCCATGCAAAATCWCTTGATTGGGTTCATTCCTCAACAARCGGCCGGTTCTTGATATTTAATATAAAGAAATACTATACATTTAAAAGATAAAAGATATAGCTTTAGTGGCATCTTCTTTTGTCTTTTTAATGTWWTTCCWATTGCCAAGAAGAAATGCACTATTTGTCGATGAGAGTGTTATAAAAATGAGGTGTTAAACTAGAATATAAATAAAACGTCAGGTCAAAAGCTCTTGACATTACAGTTCACCATTGGCATGAATAAGAAAGGATGTTTTGAACCCATTCATGCAAACAACCGATAAAACGTAATTAAGAAGGAACAACGGGGTTCTCCAATGTAATTATCACGGCAGAAATACTGCAAACGCTGTCATTGGACAATTTGCGGGCACTATACCTATTAACAGAACGGYAAACTACGACTTTATTCATTTCYTTGTAAAGTGYTGTAAAATATATAGCATTCAGGCTTGTTTCTTCGCCCGTTCAACGTTGTTTGGAACGATATTTCACCTACTTTTTTATGGCCGTATTGATTAGTTTACAACGCTGTCCATAAACATAACACCATATCCATAACATAGTGTGCGGCTAGAATGATATCGGGATCATCGGTAAACGTGCTGCGTAATCACTGCTATAAAAGTTTCAACCATTTGAACCAGGTTTCGTTRTTCCAGACGGCTTTAGATTTATTCCATTGCTTCTTTTTGTGTCGATTTAACTATTACATTTTTAATTAGTAGTCAAATTTTGCTTCATGGGTGAAGAGCTGCTTCATAATCTGACATCATACTTTTGATTTCTTTTTTTCAGAAAACTAGATTGTGAAAAAGACGATGGTAAAATTGCTTTTTATTTAAGTTTGATATATTTCATTCAATTCAACAGAAATTTCAAGTTTTAATCAATTTTTTTATTGGTTGTTTTTTAGGAAATCAGGCTTCTCGATCTCCCCGCGTTGTGCTGAATAAGATCAATGTAGACAATGCTCTTTTGGAACGGTTTAGGAAAATAAAAAGACTTGCACGACAAAAACTTGGCGCGAAATTGGAAAAAAAGGGAAACGCAAATGAAAGAATCGACGCAGGGGAAAAACAGAAAACCTCTCTCGAACTTCTTAAAGCARCCGACRGTTCCACGAACTCAAACAATGAGATAAATCTCTTAGAGGATAATGAAAGCACAGGGTGCCTWGAAAAACGAGAAGGAATAAGCMTYTTTCTGGCTGATAAGCTAAACGCAGATGAAACTGTGGAAGTTATAGACAGTAGCGAGACATGGATTTGCAAAAATAATTTAAGTCAAAAAAGCGCTAAGAGAAAACGTGATGAGAATTGCAATGAAAGCACATCGKTTGGCAAGGTAACAAAATTCTTGGAAAGTACGTCTGTCTCCATAGATGAAGGCAAACAACTTGGACCGTTGTCAGGTACAAACGAGACGGCATTTTCACTTTCGAAAAGCGATGAAGGTAGTGAGAAAGGATCATCGTCCGATCAATTTGATAAAGATTTCGAAGTTGGTGGTACCAGTGAAAACCACCAGAATAATGTTGTCAAGGTTACTAAAGTGGCTCAAGATTATGCAAAGAGTGGCGCTCAGACTGAGAAGGTCAACAGCGATGATATGGAAACAGCAGAAAGTGGAAATTTAAGTGGTGAATATTAATAGACTCTCTGACTGATTTATAGGTTGATTGATGGATTGATGYGGATTGATTAGTTGGTTAGTTGGTTTATGTTTGTTGACTGTCTGTGAGACCAACTTACTGACTKGTTGGTTGTTTAGATGTTTGGTTGATTTATTGATTAATTGATTAAATGATGGATCTCTTGCACAGGTGAAAATACAGATAATAAAAACATCTTTGAAGGAGAAGAACACGCTGAGGAGTCACTTGTCTATCAGGTTTGATGGCCGTTGCGCTTTAAAAACTACGTGCATAGATGAACACAGTTGAAAAATACCTTGTTCAATTGTCTTTTTAATCGTTAATTGTCTTTTCTTTTTTCAGCTTTTGAAAGATGTTATCGAAAAACAAACAAGTGTGTTTGCAAATGACTTAGTGCTAGAAAATGCAAAACTTGAGAAAAGAGTCGACCATCTCGAAARAGAGAACGCACTGCTTCAAAGAACGAGCAAACGTTTGCATCTTGCACTYAAAGCTGTTTTCAAGAATCGTGAAAAGGTAAATAACTCTGGAGTTAATAGCGTGCGTGTATTCCTACATTTTTTTTGGAATGGAAGTCACAGGACGCTCGATGAGGTGGACAAGTAATATCTCTAACTCTTAAAAAAATCTTCAACTATTTTATTGTRTATCCAGACCATGTGCTATGGCGCAATAAATTACACAGGGATACCAAATCAATGCAACACATCTGTCTGTATATTTTACCTCTAACCTGTGTATAGTACGAGAATKTGAGGTAGTGAGAGGATTTGAATCGTTACTAAACGCTTCTTCTCATWTGTTTTCTTGATCAGGCCAAAGTGCCACGAAGCTCGTGTGGCGTACAGGTTAACATRGATTTGGTGAGTAATTTTGATCTCATGACTGTTCTGTACATCCAAATTGTCTGAAAACGGTCTTCTATTATCTTAAATTTTTGTTTTTCAAAGATCTTAAACTTATAATATTTTTTTGTCAGAACCAGCCATCTTTTAGCCTTACACCTGTCGTCAACATTGATATTCCAGACGAAAGAAACTCCAAAGAAAAACCATTCGAAAAAATGGAAAATAGTTCGAGCTTTTCTGCAATTAACGAATCATCTTTAACAAGTTCACAAAAAAATAGAATTCCAACTGGTGAAGACTCCGCGCAATCACCTTCAGAACAAGAAAAATCTGGTGGAGAACCCAAAATGGTCGAGGTTACGATGACAACAATTGGCACTCAAACACAGGAACATACAACTCCAAAATATTTCACAGAGGGTATGGGACATTTTAAGTTGCAATGTCTTAGACATCGTGGAAAACCTTCCATTGTAGATTCCGGTGAGAAAAGTCACTATAAGATGACGCCACATGGTCTTCAACTGAAGACAAAATGGTCTGCTAGTAGTAAAAATCACGAGGAAGAATCTCGAACAGAAGTTATAGACACTAGCTGCACAMAGACAAAGGATTTGTCGAAATCTCCTATAAGAGGCACTTTCTCTCTCAGAAAAAACATATCGACTGATCAAAATTGTACAATGTCTGATAAAGAAAAAAGGACTAGTCCATTTTCGGAAAATCTCAGGAGAAATGAAGAACACGCTGCAAATACAGACGTTGCTGATCATCCGAGGGCTAAGCATATGTCTACATCGACAGCTAGATCKAATGAAAGTTTAAGGACTCACTTAAAAACATCGCAAAAATCTCAGAACGAGTCTTTGGTTGCAAGAGAACATGAGCAGGAAGCCAGCTATCGTGACCCACAGAGTCCTGTCATTCCTAAGCACTCCATCAGTACCGCCATCAAAACTGTAAACTTGCCAAGAGATCAGTCTTCAAAAGGGAAGGAAGAACCAGATCTAATTATTGTCTCATCAAACGAACCATCYCCGCCTAGAATGGCAATGCCAAGCCTACGTTCAAACAATGAATCATCTTTCAGAGCTGTCCAAAATGAAGTGAAATCTAAAACAAAAGAGAGAGAAATGATAGAAMGAAGGGAAAGGGAAATGTTGGAGCAGAAGAAAAGAGAAATTATGGAGCGAAAGGAAAGAGAAATGCTAGAGCGAAAGGAAAGAGAGGTTCTGGCGCGACAGGAAAAGGAAATGCTAGAGCGACAAAGACCAGTTTATTATAGCCAATCAATCAGACAACAGAAGCGGAATGAGATGCTGGTAGAAAGAATTATGTCTGAAAATACGATCCCAAAGTCGACGCCAGTTACTCTTGATAACCTCAATCCAAATTCTCAAGAGATGCGTAAGTCTAATGCTGTTCACATGAGTCAAATCCAGTCGCAACAAACCCTCCAGTATACCAATGCGGTAATGCGCGCCCGTGAGCAAAGTGCTCAGCCAATTACAGCGCAGGGAGCACCCCGACCACAGAGATATGGTGCTCCAGAAATGATGGTTGTTAGTCAAACAGAAGGCCGTGAAAATGGTTCGGCCCCTAGAGGTTCTAGTTTACCCCCACAATTGATACCTTCTCAGCCTCAAAGAGTCCAAGAACAGTTACGTCCACCTCGAAGCATTTCCTTTGAAACTGCTGAAACCCAAAGGAATCAAGGTCAGACCATAAGCGGAATTGCGCAGGTTAATAATGCGATTCACTTGCAAAGAGCTCAGGTTGCAGCACAAAGTAATAGATCACAGCAACCGCTGCAACAAACACATTTGTCACAACAGCAACAACAGCAGCAGCAGCAGCAGCAGCATCTAATTGCTAGGCAGCAACATCTCCAACAAATCGCCACTCCAGGTTATCAACAACCTAGAGCTGGGAATCTCCAAGGACTTACACAACAGCATCCTCGAGCTTCTCAGCCAAATATATCCAGACAACAGGCACCACCGCCCTACCAATCTCCGCACCGGTTGCAGCAGATACCGAGGCCAATGGTCGATCCTGGACGATCACATGCAAACATGCCTTTATCTCCCGAATTTGGCAGAACATTTATTCAAAGAGCGCCGTACAAAGATGCACCACCTCATCTCATTCCTGGAAATGTCCAGCAAACACGACAGGGTCCAGTTGTAGTTTATCAGCCAGGTGCACTTGAAGGAGGTGTTCGTCCAGCTGCACCAACTTCTCAAGCGCAATTTGAAAGGCTCCAAGATCAAATGAGACAAGCACAAAATCCTCCACAAGGTCAAATAAGCCAGCCACCACAAAGGGTAACCAATGCAGTTGYACAATTGCCCCCAAGCATCCAAAGCCAGCGTACCACTTCATGTGAAATGCAGCAAGTTAATGATAGGCGGGCAAGAGTTGTTCCCGAAAGACCTCAGCAAACTCATGTAAATACATCTTCATCGCAAAGATCACCACCGAAGCCTAGTGCGTCAATAGCCATAGTTGAAAATGGCATTGTTTTATCGTGGAATGTCTCTCCTGAACAAGATACTTCAGATATTGATAGCTWTGAATTATTTGCTTGTCAAGATGACAGCAATTCGAGTTGTCCTCCAGTGTTATGGAAAAAGATTGGAGTTGTTAARGCTCTACCTTTACCTATGGCATGTACATTAACACAGTTCTCTAATGGYAGTCGTTACCAATTTGCTGTTAGAGCTGTGGATTCTTCTGAGAGAGCAGGKCCTTTCAGTGACCCATGTGTAATCCTTTTGAAGAAGTCCTGATGACTATTAGTTGCCTTCAATTTTAGTCATACGTATGATATGGTTTATAAATAGCATTTCATCCAGTAGTTCCAGTACATCATAATTGTAAAATTAACAATAGGCCTTTTGCATGGAACGGTCACATGGTACTAAATCCGTCATACTGGATGGCAAAATATCCACTGCAATGTTCAAAACAAATAAAAGTCAAGCTTGACAGGTTGCGTTTCTTTTGTTTTTGAGGTTGTTCACTTTCTTTTGCCATTCAGTATGGCGTATGTGACCGTTTCATTCAAAAGGCCTATAACGTTTCAGTTTTAACCTAGATGTTGTGTTAAAATTGAAAAATTKAATGTACTACAGATCATTCTGGGATAGGAGTCAAAGTTAGAACAGTCCATTTTTTCAAGATAAAGTCTCCGTCGTATTTATTGTTATTTAGATGTGCATGAATACCAATGCAGCTATACTTAATTACAGATTTGCGTGTGATAATATGGAATAAATCTGTGTKATAATGCATTGATATGTACAATCGAACTGGGCAATCAAACGTTCTTTAAAACCGTTTACCCGGAATTTTGTTGAWAATAACCCAAAAGTGTTGATTGGATACGTAATGGCTGATTTAATTATTGYTTGCCCAGGATTTACCAAATYCATGGAGTTGTTGAAACTGATTTTTTGAATCAAWTATTRATGTTTTCATACTCGTTATAAAAGTATTTATTGTGAATGTTACTGTTTTTATTTTCCATGTGGTATACATCAGGCACTTTAAACCAGATCTCTAACCCTTATCGAAAACATGGGTCTATCTTTTTTTAATCCTTAAGATTAAAATCGTGAAGGTCTTTAAAACTATCTATAGCCGTTCTCTAACATTCGTTGGACCATTTGACCCTTGAGAATATTACCTTGTCTAGTAAGTCAGACGGGTTTAAAATGTCTGACGTATGTGGTCATGTTCGCGTCTATGCACATAGGATGAAAAGTAAAGATGTTTTTTCATTACTTCTTAGTCAAATTAATGAAATCTCTTAACCATGCATGTCCTGATTGAGATATGTTACCAAAACCATATAAGGGTGTTATGATAGAAGATCGGTCAAATCGGTTTCATCTGAAGAACAAAGCAAACGACCCTTTTGCTCTCTTTGTTTACCCAAAAGTAATTAATTGTCATGATTTGTAGACAATCTGTACAAACATTAATATRCTGTAGACGTCTAGATAAATGTATATGTAAATAGCGTATTTTATAGAGGTCTATTTATAACATTTGTAACGATACCATTTATAGAAACCTACTTACTTTGTGTACATTTTGTTTATTAAAAGAGAGAACAAGAGATATTCCTTTAACGTCGTAATTGTTAGATAGAATTTCAGTTAGGTGTATGAAAAGCCAATACTAGCAAACAAAACACCACGCCGATGAAAACTGAAGAAGTACTGCTGCTTACTGTAGTTCTTCAGTAAATCTTCGACGAAATGCCCACGAGTCTAGTATACTATACAGCACCCTACCACCTCTTCTATTTGGCTCTTTACGCCAACTCTGTGACTTGTCTCAGAGGGAAATTGTCTCAAAGGGAAATTGTATCAAAGGAAAGAATATAATCTTTATTGGGACAAAGCAAAACAAATCCCTTAGTATTAAACCTCACCAATGCCCGTTTACGGTTTTGCTTGACTAACAACAAAAATTGATGTTAGTTCCAAGATTGTATACTTATAGCGATTGATTGCTACGAAGAACAGACTAAGCATGCTGAATTAAACCTCGGCGATTCCAGAAGTTAATCGAGAGAGACTGGACAAAAATGGACAAAAAAATATAGCGGTATTTATCAGAAAGGACCATCATTTACAAACCATATTTATTCATGTGTTTGCAATTGGTATCTAAAATTCCAATACATTTGATTCCTACAAGTTCATGCAATCTGTGAGGCATTTTAGTGTGGTTGTTTCCTCACATTCGAACAATTTTCCAATTTTTGTCTTTAATTCCAGGTAATCCGTAGTTTTCCAGGTCAGTTTTCAGGTTACTTAGCCATATATAACAAACTACGTTAGGTGAATACAAATTTTCCAAAATCATGGTCTTACATAAAAACTAGTAATTTTGTTAAGGTCAGTTCCTTAGAATATGTTTTCTTTGAAGTTTTTCCTGGAATGTGCTACTATAGTTGTTCATGTTTCTGTTTTTCTTTGGATTAGTTTCTCGGACGACTTCTCTTTAATTCCTTTGGATGCCCTCATGCTGGGAATGCTATTTGAGTGTTAAAAATACTCATTTCAACTCTGATAAAACCAAATAATCTTCTTAATATGCTAACAGTCACAGTCTATCCGAAACCATATGACAGGTCTCCAATATTCTTTAATGCTTTGGTTGCTTCTTCGCAGACTTGGAAGACTTGCTTACTCTGCTCAATTTTTCTCTCTTTGTTCCACCGCTTGTTGGTTCCTGGCCTGGTTCTTGTGGTGATCCATTAAACATACTCATCATGTTGCCACCCATTCCTCCCATACCGCCCATACCTCCCATGCTGCCCATGCCGCCCATGCCGCCCATCTCAGACATTCCACCTCCCATCATACCATTTCCTATTTGAAAAATAAAGTAAAGATTATAACGGAAAAGAAGTTGGAGAAKGAAGCCTCGGGTGRAAGTGAAAAYCAGTGTAGGATGAAGGAGGATAAAGGATTCCAAGCGTGAAAGAGGCGGCAGAGGTAATCACAAAAATTAAAACCTTTTATTCCGCCTCCTTCGCCGCTTCTGTAACTCCTGAATCCTTCACCTTTCCTTTCAGCCTTTCACTGATTTATACTTTTGCCAAATKAATGTGGCTTTGGTGTCCGTCATCTACTATGTCTCCAAGCACGYTTAAGAAATCCATGTCAACTGTCAATGAGGCGGCGAAGGAACCAAAACAACAAGAGATCATGAAAACTTTTCATTCTGATTCCTTCAATGTTTCGTCTCCGCTTACTTTGCAAGTGAAAACGTATGTGGTGTTGAATCATAATGAAGAGTGAAGAGAAAATAAATTCAGGTTTCCACAGATAAAAGGCGACACAGGCCTGCTCAAATCACTCGTGTGCAGTGATTTCACATGTATTCTACAACAAATCTCATTACTTTTGTGTTCATATATGGAAAGATAATCTTTGTCACCTTACCTTGTGATTTAAAGCCAAGTCCYCCCATACTTTCAATGTTTTGCATACYAGCCATAGGGTTTTCCATCGACATACCGCCCATGCTGCCGCCGCCCATGCTACCCATGCTTCCTCCACCCATTCCTCCCATCATGCCACCCATACCGCCCATCGACATAGTGTTCATWCCACCGCCGCCGCCGCCCATTGAACCCATGCCTCCCATGCCTGGAAAATAACAGAAAAAGTTCTGGTTAAGGATTTTGTTATTATTCAGATGAGAAACTAGGTGAACTGACAGATGTTTCACTACGCGACAAAATATTTCTGCTACTGGATGAACTAATCGTATTCTCACCTCCTTCAATAAACTGTTTGCTCATCACTGGTCCTTCATTAGGRCCGCTAGGTTCGGGGGCCATCATTTGCATCATATTTGCACCCATAGGTCCTTCCATWGTTGCACCACCAGCGCCCCCAATGGTCGTGGTTCCGGCGTTAAATCCCATGGACATGTCACCACCTCCCATACCTGCTCCCATACCCATTCCACCCATTCCACCCATACCTCCCATTCCTCCCATGCCCATAGTCATTCCACCACCTCCCATTCCACCACCCATGCTCTCCATGCCACCACCGAAACCTCCCATTGGGCTCATGCCAAAACCTGAAAGCAAAACAAACCATCATCATCATCCACATCATTATGGGGGGATTCATAATTTTGGGGTTGGGTGCAGGGCACTMCGGAGGGTTTTCACTCCGCAAAATGATCAAGAAGGAGACAAAAAAGGCACAAAAAGAAATAAAAAAATGTATTGAGGGATACCAGGTCTCATCAGGAGAGACTGTTGAGAACGGTGTAGTTTACTAGGCTCATGGTCTTTTAATGGAAAACGTATAGACATAAGCTGTAGTGGGCAGTAGTGCCTCTTCAATATACAGCAGCGTACTGCTATGGTTGTTAGTATTAATTGACCTTTCATACACCTTACGATGGTGGATGCTTTGAAAACTACGGAGCCTTTAAAACAATGCTAGAATGACTTCATGATCAGAATATCTCACCTCCTCCCATTCCTCCGTCCATAGCTCCAGGAACTGCAACAACAAAAGGGCAAACGATTATKTCCGTGAAGTTATAGATTCTTACCTCTAAGCTACACTGCACAGAACTACTGGTGAAATTGGTCCTGAATATATATTTCTTATTTTTATGAATYAATTGGCTGCCAATGTACAGTTATGAGACTTCAGCTTCAGCTTAATTACACATTCATTGGCGCATTGTATTCTGGAACTGTTTGGGAGAGCACTCACAAAGTCACGAAATCTGGCAAAGTAGAATAATTTTTGCATAACAATGTTGACATTTTGTTAAGTAAATGACTGACTGAGATAGAGTTATAGTGAGCACTAGGTACTTAAAAGTACAAGATATTGGCAAGTCTGGTAAGGCACCTCCTCCAAAACGGTTATGCACCTTGCCCCTAAGATTTTCTTCTCCCAAAAAGTGTCCACAAATGTCCATAAAATTCAAAGCACATTCCAACTCCAATTRAAAATTTAGCTCTAATAAATTTGTAAAGCAGTTTTGATGTCTTAAAAATGAGCCTCGAGAGAAAAAATGAACCTTTAAGGTTCAAGCGCAAATACTGAACATGCAAAAGTAAGCTAATTAAAGTAGTAAAGTATTAATGCTTAACCTCCTTGGAAGTCAAATTCGCCAGATTTTTTGCTGGTGTGTGTTCTTCTTGATGGGAAATGTGAACCTGTGGCACATTAGCCAATCAAAATGCATTAAATTCTTGTCAATTGGTCACGTGATGGTCTGTATTGATTRGTCTGYGTTTGTTTTGAGTTGGTCAGTCCAGAAGGTGYAAATTTGGACTATAGTTTATGTTTTATGCCATTTTTTCTTCTTTCGGCTTTGCTTATATTTTAGTAAATGTCATTTTAAATTGCTTTGATATATTTGACATAGCGTTAGGATGTGGCTTAGTGCCATTTTCTGTCATCGAAAAAAGCATCTCTTCAGTTATTATGCTATGGACAGCATTATTTCTGTAAGTGCAATATCACTTTCAGCCGGAATTTTTATGTTTAGGTGCTATATAGTTATCATCTTTTTTASATTAAATTTTTGCCTAAATTAGAAATAAGTTTTGTCTGTCTGTTTTCTGTTGTCGTTCGTACCAACATTTTCTGCTGGAAATAAACTTTAAGTTTACTTTCGGTCGTCTTTATAAGTTTTACTGAATTGGAGTTGGAATGGCGAGAAATGAGCCATCGTTGTTAGTTCATTGATATATGGAAGAGCTTAACATTCGATATTAAGTTTTGTTTTTCCTACATGTAGCAATTAATCTTATATTTGTATTATTTCTAGGCGGATGTCGATGTTGGAAAGGCGATTGCTACAAAACAAGTTAGGTCAGCGGTCTCAGTTTTACCTACGACTGATTGKTTCGTACTTGTGAAATTACAAATTTTTAAATGTCGCTTGTTAATGATTTATGTGCAATGCTAAAAGGCACTATAAACTAGTATCTAGGCTGTCACCATTCCAACTCCGTCGCTAATTCATGAGGAACCCTGGGTACTAGTAATCGCATAGTGATCCTGCACTGGAAACTTAAGATAAACGAAACAGGAACATTTTGTGTATGACGTAATTTTGAATAATGCCTTTGCTGAACTCGTACCCAGACCCCTCATTTGTAAGTTATTAGAGGATGATTATTATAAGTTATGATAATTTATGCTAATTTATTAACTTATTCTCACCTCCTTGTTTCTTGGATTTGTGTTCAACATGTCCTTTTTCTGTCGATGCAAATAAAACAAAAATGCTGAATATAACTAGAAAACAAAGAGATTTGTGAAAGTGATGTCTCTGTTGTATTAGTTGTTCTTAAAAACAATACGATTTAGATATCAAAAAGGTGCAATTTAGGGAGAATCCAATTGCAATCCTTTTAGCCAATTTGATTTCAGTAATCAAAGTGATTTCAAAATGCTTAAGTTTATCGTTTAGTCATGCCAATAAAAGCCACTTACTTGTGCTTCTAGCAAATCCTGCGAAGAAAAAAAAAATGATCAAATAGTAATCAAAGGCTTATATGGACTCAGATCTCCGATGAGGCCGCCATCTTGAATTTATTTTTTTTAGGTGGAAAAACTCACTCATTCTCTGACGTCCTTTCAAACTTAGTAACTCATCCATTTTTTTCTATCTACCTCTCGAAGGAATCTGCTCTCTCTTTGGCACCTCAGGYGGGACAGGGATATCGTAATCGTCATTAACAAACGGTACTTCTGGTACATCATTAGGATGAGGTATTCGGGGTAATTCATGTTCAAACTCAAATATACTCGGCTTTTCAAACCAACATCCACCAAAATTATCCATGCACGGATATATCGGTGTCTCMGGGGTGTCGGGCACTGTGGGAACACTACCCGGTGTAACCGGAGTCTCCGGGGTTACCGGAGATGAGGGTGTCCGAGGAGTTTCTGGTGTTATTGGGGTCTTTGGCGACACTGGCGTCTCTGGACTTTTGGGAGTTTCTTTTGTCTCCGGGGTCACAGGGGTTTCTGGAGACCCCGGAGTGTCCGGTACTGGAGGAATCGGTGGATGAATCCCCGATGATTGAGGAATTGCATGCACAAGTTCTGTTTTGATGGAAATACGAAGACGAGTTGTTCAAACTTTAACAGTGTCTTGAAGGGAGTCGAAAAGAAAAAAAGGCGCTCAGAACATGAAGTATTTCTCATCCCAAACAAGTAAAACAAATCAAAGCTATCGTCCAGTGATTGACAATGTCAATCACTGAAAGATTGAGTAATGATTTATTGTAGACAAAGCCACACACTGACATGCGCACTTTTAAACAACTACTCATGAACGACTGGTATTTCCGCTCACACAKTCATTTGAAAAATCGCYTTCATGATTACGAAAAGAWCACTTTGCAAAACGTCTACGTGTGGACTTGACGTCTTACAGCCGTGCAGAGCCGTCGTTCAYGATGCATCTCCACATGTGTTTGTTTTCAAATGCTTAGCTAAAATATTACKCGTATAGTACATTCACTTACCGGTGGAAACTAGAGCTAGAATAGCCAATAAACAAAGTGATCTTGCTTGGTTCATTTTCTGAAAAAATTAGTTCGCAGTCATTGGTATTCGGAGTCGAATAAGTCCGTGAAWCAAAATGAAATGGTGTAAGCGTAATAGTCAAATGAACCACAAAAGAAAACGATGAAATTACAGACTAAATAAGGTGTATTAGTCTAATAGAGTGAAGAGTAAGGTCATAAAACCCGTGAAACAAAATTTGAATAAGTGTGAAAGTTAAAAGAAAACAATGCATTTAGAGCATTTGCATTTCACGGGTTTTGTTGACTCACCTTAAACCCGTGAAACAAAAAATATAATAATCAAAGCGTATAGGCATATAGAAAAATGCTAGAACTACAGATTAATAAGCAAAGTTTCCTTACTGAATATTTTTTTTGTCTCGGCACGTTTTTTCCCTTTACACAAGTTATGTTTGAATCGATCTTAGAAATARGTTCCCAAATTCTAACAAGCTTTTTTTTAAACAATAAGTTATAAATTGCCTTTTCCTTTGATTGTTATTTCAAATATTATGAATTTGATTCGTGTTTTTCGGTTATATGTTTGATAATATAAATATGTGAAATTACTGTCCAGTCAAAACATTTGRTATTTTCAGACAGAACACTTGTTGTATTCCAATGTCGGATCTAGAAAATATTGAATTTCGAGACTCACCTCAAATTTTAGGCCCGTACCTTATTGACTAGCTATTCCCGTAATAAATACAGTATACAATGAATAACTCGAAGGGGTAAATGGTGAATATTTTATGATTTTAAGTCAAGGGCCGTATCTGTCCAAATAAATTACATCATGGAATGACATCACACAAAAGATCTTCCTTCAAAAGAAAAATCGCAACAAACTACTGCTTTTTRCATGGGAATTACTTTTGGACGACTCTTAGATTGTTTTGTATATTTTCCTATGTATAGGTGATCGTATTTARGATATTTTTTAGGGCAAATTATGTCCAATTAGCTGCATAATTTAGAGTCAGTAGCTGGTGCTCTTTTATGGTGAGTTACCATTGCAGGTTGTCTTTTAGAGTTCGCTGGCARTGARCTGACCCATATCCAGGGCCTGTTAAAATATTTCAGGCAGAGAAAACACTAACGTTGGAAAGACAAGACCAGTTGGTCGAAGACAGTAGAAAATTAAACAAGAAAAAGGATGGGGGCGGGTTCGAAACDATTCCCTTTTCATCGGCTGTCATTTCGAGGTGCGAGGGTATGCCTCACTTAATCGCGTTTGAATATAAAATAGGTATAACAAAGCGAATCAGAGACGTTAAAAAAATGTTTCTTTGTGGCTAAAAATATCATTTACAAAATGAGACAACAATCTTTATGAGCTAACTGTAAGCTTCCTCGTTGTTTCCTAATCAAACTGTTGTACTAAAAGATAATTAATTATATACACTCACTGTAAACGAGAGACGTTTACTGACGGTTTGGAACGATGCTCTTTGTCAGAGGGAAGAGACAAACAAAAGCATCCAACATGCAATTTCTTTCTCTTGAAGAACTGTGCATGCTTCACATTTTATAAGAAAAATTCCGGCATTGACCCAGTAAATTCAATTTTACGCCATTTTAATGTAAATATAATTATTGATATAATTTCACATTATTTTTATATGATAAGAAAAGAAATATAATCTGACACTTAATTAATCTTCTTAAACAATTCGCAATAAACTTAATTTCGATTTTGCAATTGGTCACTTGCAATAGACCTAATTGGCTTCAACCCAAGTCAAACCACCCAGGAGGTCTTAGTTCTTTAAACGGCCGTCCCCCTACTGAAAATTATTGTGCAATCCCTTTATGGGATTGTATAAATACCACCCTGTATGCCATATTTCACATTATTTTTATATGATAAGAAAAGAAATATAATCTGACACTTAATTAATCTTCTTAAACAATTCGCAATAAACTTAATTTCGATTTTGCAATTGGTCACTTGCAATAGACCTAATTGGCTTCAACCCAAGTCAAACCACCCAGGAGTAAGTTTCATTGTTCGTTGTATTTTCATTTCACAGTTGAATTYTTAGAAAAGCTCTTTTTCCCACAGGATTTAAGTTGGGTGGCAACGTACATAGCAACGCTGTTAGCCGATTAGGTCTATTGTATTTAACTTGAAACTTGAAACCTTTGAAAATTACCATTTTTATAACATCTGCGTCAGCACCCCTTCCAGTTCAGTGTTGCTGTATGGAAATCTTGATCAGGACAACAACACTTCCACAAAACAACACTGTATACCCGTTAAGGGGAGGGTTAGGGATTTGGTTCAAGTACTAAGGAATGGAATGGAAAGGTAACTAGAATGGAATGGAATTGTAAAGTAACTACTAGGTCTCTTCTTGTTTTGAACATAAGTTAATCCAATCAATATGGGTGATTTAAGAATAGAAAGCTATCGCTTTTATCGCTGTTCAAAATCTCACAGTTAGCTCAAAGCTTTACGAAAGTTTTTTCGATTGAAATTSGTTTCCTTTACATCGTTCAATAATTGTTTCTTGAAAGTCATGGGTATCTTCACAAACTTTTCGCACATGCTTGAAGGCAAATCCATTAATTAATGAAACTGGTAGCAGCTTTCACGTATTTCTTGAAAATTTCCGCGGGCTTGAATGATCACCAACTTAGATTCACGGTGCCTTAAGGAAGTTCTTTGATTGAATTTGACAGCATCTTGCTGCAGGAGTAAAAGTAGATCCGGCTTTGCTAAACGAAATGACTACTTCAGTTTCTTGCTTGGATCTACCTCTCTGAGGGCTTATTCACAGTGATTTAAAAAATCCCCTTAGATTGGTGGTAGGTTGTAGTTCCTTATGATTGATTGATTGACTTTTTCTCCCTCTCTCTCTTTAGACGCTATCGCATTCGTTTCTTGGATTTAARCTCTCCGAGGGCCTAGTGTAAACTAAGCTGCCACCTTGTGATTGCGATTCCGATTGTCGTCGCTTCCTAMGGGTTCCCATACAACAATAWACACATGCTGTTACTAGCATACCAAGTATTATGACCAATAGTATTATGGCTATTATCAAGGGAAGATGGACKCCGCCGGCCATCTTGTCAATCTTGAAAAAAMCTGAAAATAAGAGAAAAATGATCAATTTGATCGATGTGGGAGTTAAAGAATTGATTAAAAGATAATATGAGTGAAATTAGTAAGGAAGCATGAATGATTAATTGTATTAGATGAATAGACGGACGTACGGACGGACGGACGGACGGAAAAAGAGAGTAGTGGATGAGCAAAGTGATGGATTGATCATGGATTGATTCGTTAGTGGATGGATAGGATGGAAGGGGTATAAGTAGATGAATGGAAGAAAGTAGTTCGAGTCGCTTSATTTGAGATTGTAAACGAATTATGAAAAATATTGACAAAATYCTTGGACCATTCGTGAACAAAATATAAAAATAAATCAATAGCCTCCTCTGCATGTTACCACACGTCATCAACATCTAAAACAAGAGGAAAAAAAACACAATGATGATTAAATTTTCATCATCCCGTTGTCAACTGATGAATCAGAACTATTGTTATAGTACTTCCTCATTGCCTTGATTTATTGTCATCAGTTCATCYAGTATCGTKTTGTTGTCCCCTAGTTCCTTGTAAATGTCSAAATTTCTCTT